AATGTTTCTATTAGTATATAAACCTTTTCTTGACTTTTTACAGTAGTTCCTTCATACAATATTTGTCCTTTTGTGATTGACTAATATCACTCAGCATAATATACTCCAGGTTTATCCATGTTATGGAATATTTCATAGATTCATCATTATTCTTTAACATTGCCTAGTATTCCGTTGTGTGTATGTACCTTGGTTTGTTTAGTCTTTCTTTCACTGATGGGCATTTAGATTGTATCCATCATTTTGCTATTGTGAATAGTGCTGTTATGAACATGGGTATGTCTATTTGTGTTGCACCTCTTGCTTCTCTAAGGTATATACTAAGTAAAAGACTTTCTAGATCATATGGTATTTCTATTTCCATCATTTTAAGGAAGCACCATAATATTTTCCACACTCCCACCAGCAGTGTATGAGAGTCCCAGTCTCTCCACACTTCACCAGCATTTTTGTTACCTGCTTTTCAAACTTTGCTATTAATGCTGGGGTTATCCATTCTGCTCTTGAAATTTTCTGTTTATCTTCTTTACCTCCTCATTTCTTCCATGTACTTTAGCATCTCTACACTGAAGAACAAGTTTCAGAGCCTCTTCTGATGTCCATTTTGGTCTTTTCTTTCTTTCTTATCTTCTTAATGACCTTTTGCTTTCTTCCTGTGTGATGTTCTTTGTCATTCTACAACTCTTCTGGTCTTTAGCCATTAGTGTCTAACTGAGCAAATTTGTTTTTGAGATAATCTCTAAATTCAGGTGAGATATGTTCAAGGTCATGTTTTGGTTCTCATGGACTTGTTTTAATTTTTTTTCTGCTTCAGCTTTAACTTGCATATGAGCAATTGATGGTCTGTTCCACAGTCTGCCTCTTGCCTTGTTTTGGCTGATGATATGGAGCTTTTCCGCCATCTCTTTCCACAGATGTAGTCAATTTGATTTTTGTGTATCATGTCTGGTGAGGTCCATGTGTATAAGCCATCTTTTATGTTGTTTAAAAAAGGTAATAGCAATGAAGAAGTCATTGATCTTACATAATTTTATCAGGCTATCTCCAGCATCATTTCTATCGCCAAGGCCGTATTTTCCAATGATTGATCCTGCCTCTTTGTTTCCAACAATTGTATTCAATTGCCTTAATTATCAATACATCTTGATTGCATGTTCGATCAATTTCAGAACAAAGAAATTGGTAGAATTCTTCTATTTCATTGCCATTGGCTTAGTGAATGATGCATAAATTTGAATAACAGTGATATTAACTCTTTCTTGTAGGTATATGGATATTATCCTAACACAGACAGCATTGTACTTCAAAATAGATCTCAAATGGCTTTTTTAATGATGAATTTGATGCCATTCCTCTTCAATTTGTCTTTACAGAATAGTAAACCATGTGATTGTCAGATTCAAAATGGTCAATACCAATCCATTTCAGTTCACTAATGTCTAGGACAGGAGAGGGAATTTCCAGCCCTCAGGCCATATAAGGCCCATGAAATCATTTGGTCTGGCCCTGCCAAGGCAACTGCAGTTCTAGCCATCAC